TTCACACTTGTTACGGATCAGCGATCTGTCTATTTCATGTATAACAGGTCAAACAAGGGAAATATTAAAAATGAAAAAATCCAGAGGTGGAAACTAGAACTCTCCACTATGACGTCATCTATCGCCCTGGCAAGCAGAACACTGTAGCTGATACACTTACCAGAAACTATCTATCTGCCATCACTCGCAATGACCTTAAATTGCTGCACACTAGTCTTTGCCACCCGGGCGTTATACGACTATTGCACTACGTAAGGACTAAAAATCTTCCATTTTCCTGTGATGACGTCAGAACTGTAATAGAACAATGTCAAGCTTGTGCAGAACTAAAGCCCCGTTTTTTTCGACAGCCGACCGGAGAACTGATTAAAGCAACTCAACCTTTTGAGAGAATTAGTATGGATTTCAAGGGACCTCTCCCTACTGTTTCAAGAGATAGATATCTACTTACCATTATAGATGAATTCTCTAGATTCCCATTTGCATTTCCCGATATGTCTTCCTCTACGGTTGTTAAATGTCTCAATGAACTATTCGCCATATTTGGATTTCCAGCGTACGTCCACACTGACAGGGGAACTTCGTTTATGTCTACAGAGGTGCAGCATTTCCTCCACGAGAGAGGAATTGCAACCAGTAGAACGACCCCTTACAGTCCGAGAGGAAACGGACAAATAGAGAAGCTTAACGGGACTTTATGGAAAGCCATCACCTTGGCTCTACATTCTAAGGAATTGGACATAGCTAAATGGGAACTAGTACTAAATGATGCTCTGCAATCCATCCGGTCATTACTATGCACTGCAACTAACAGGACACCACATGAACGACTTCTTGGGTTCAACCGAAGAAGTGGTTCCGGGACATCCTTGCCAACATGGTTGACCAGTCCTGGTCCTGTCCTGTGGAAGAAGAACGTTAGATCATCTAAATACGATCCCATAACAGAAGAAGTTGATTTGGTAACATGCAACCCTCAGTACGCTGTAATCCGAACACCAACTGGTCAAGAGGAAACTGTCTCATTACGAATGTTAGCCCCTAGGGAGGAACAAAAAGTTATAGAAAATGAGAATCAGAGTAAAACAGAGCTTGATATTGGCTGCCCCATCCAAAGCTCACCTCCCAGGAATCAAACTACTGATTCTACCATGCCTGAAGAAACCACCAGCACCACTGAAGACATAGCCAGACCGTCTGAAACTCAAGCAGATGAAACTACACATACATACAATCTTAAAGTAAGGAGAACTAGGCCCAACTACAAAGTGTAAAAGCTCATCAGCTTACTAGAACTCTTACTTTGACATTAATTTGTTTCTCCAAAATGGCATTTGTTTATTTTACTACTTTCATTTGATTTTGTTGACTTGCGTTTAATGAGATATTTGATCTATCATGATATATTTTAATAAGCTATTTGATTTACACTTACTTATATCATGTTACATTATGTCATGCTATTCTACATTGTTTGTTTACTTGAATCTCTATTATTATTCTGCACTTACTTAATTCTTCTATTGTTTATAATACTAGTTAGCATTATTTGAACCGGGGGTGAATGTTATGAAAATTATATTCTGTATCGGTTGTCGTTCTTATGTTTACATGTGCTTGTAACTCGTCCATGAGAATGTGTTCACGAAATGTGTGTTGTGTTGTCATTCAGTGTATTAAAGCCATACTATACAGATATGGTTCTCGACTCTATCTTTATGCTCATAACACTATTTCAATATTTATTGTGACCACAAGCCAGTTAACTTATAAAGTATCACTTTAAATGAATACAAAAAAATCAATGGTAGATGTTTAATCTTTTTATTTAGAAAAGAGTTAACGGTACTAGATTTGTTAGTAATTTTTTTTTAACAAATAGGCATTTTGTTCTAGGTGCAGTTTTCCTTGCTGTCTCTGCAGACTTTGCAGACAGTGGTTCTGGGTTTGTTGTTCACAGTGCCTGTGCTAAGGCTGGTGTGGAAGCACTGACCAAGTCATTGGCAGTAGAATGGGCCCGATATGGTATGCGATTCAATGTGATCTCTCCAGGACCCATTGAAACCAAGGTCAAGTATACATCTAAATTTGTAAAACTAAAATTAAAGAAAAATTAGAGGATTCTGTGTTATAAATATATAATTTTTGGTGTCATAGTAGATAATTAATAAGAATTTACTCAACACTAATAAATTGTACCTTATAGTTCTGTTTGAGACATTTATTTTCTTGACCAAGTCAGGAATTAAGTTATAGCCAGTTGGACATTGGACTAGTAACCCAGCTCTTCTCTTTTTAAAGAAACCAGTTTAGAAGTACCAACAGATAATCACAATAGCCTATGACAAGTATTTTTGGTTAGCATGGCATCTATAGAATGCTTAGCAGGATAGAGTAGAAACCCCAACTAGCATTACCAGAAGTATTTGGAAGTGGAATAGTCAAGAGAACATAAACACAATTCATGTATACAAATAAATATCACAACTACATTATATTAGCCAATAAAGACATTTAGATGCATATGTAAACTAAAATTCATTTATATCTTTTTATTACAGGGTGCTTTTAGTAGACTTGATCCCACTGGCCAGTTCACAGACAGAATGATCCAAAAGATTCCAGTTGGCAGACTTGGTGAAGTTGGAGAATTTTCCAACCTGGCATGTTATTTATTGAGTGATTACTCGTCTTGGATAAATGGCCAGGTATTTCTCTTAAGATGAACATACTAAATCTAAAGACCTTTGTTAAATCTTCATTCCGATTGTTTTCAAACACATTCCTAGAAAGTTCTTTGAATATAAAAAAGGACATAGAAATGTATTCAGGTAGAATGCTTTCTCAGAATCATGAAGGCATTACTGTTTTTAAAAGCTAGATTAAAGCTAAAGAAGAAAGATCGATAACAATTGCAATGTCTGAGTCAGTTAAAAATAAATCTGCTAACAAGCATTAATCCAGCGCTTCAAAAACAGTTAGGTGGGGCACGATGTCCTCACAAAAACAGTGATGTAGGGTGCAATGTCCTCACAAAAACAGTGAGGTGGGGCATGATGTCCTCACAAAAACAGTGAGGTGGTGAGCAATGTCCTCACAAAAACAGTGAGGTGAGGTGCAATGTCCTCACAAAAACAGTGAGGTGGGGCACGATGTCCTCACAAAAACAGTGAGGTGGGGCGCGATGTCCTCACAAAAACAGTGAGGTGGGGCGCGATGTCCTCACAAAAAGGTGAGGGGGACTGGGGCAAAAAAACGTTTTAATTTCATTGTAGTTATCAAAACATGTCTGAACATTAGTAAAACTCAACCATTACCAATTAATAAAAAATTAAACAAAAGAGACATCTTTTCATCTTCTAGTAAGACCTTGTAAAATGTATACCTTTTCGCAAAAGTCATATATAAGAATATTGACTCAAAACTTTTGAAGAAGACATTTTAAAATGTCTCAGCTAGTGTGATTCTTCTGAACTATCTAGTCTCAGATTGGTCCAATATCTTCCTGCAGCTCATTATAATAACTTAAGTGTGAAAAAAAAGTCAGCAACAGAGAAGCAGAGATGTCATACTTAACATAAAGATGATCTTAAAAAATGAACACGCCCATCTCTGACCTCCGTGCACTATCTATACCTTGAATGTCCCTCAGATATTTCGATTTGCCAGTGCTGCCTCTTGATTATTTGACTTAATTTTGACCCTTACATTTTTTTTTACTAGGATGAATATTCTATCTGAACGAAAACAAATCATTATTTACCTTTTGGACATTCTCTCTTTTTACTACCAGAGAATGGTGTTGTAGATGCCAGGAGAAAGAATTTCTGAAGCTAATATTTTATATGGGTTTTATGCAGCCTGCACACTAGCTAAAATACTTTCCTCTGCTGATGTCAGGCATTAGTTAAATTTGGTTTCATTCAGATATGTCTTTAAATCTGTAATAAAAATATCTGGTCTGTCCATAGACTTAAAAGAACTTTTTATTGCATAACCCACGCTCTACCACTAGTTTTATCCTTTTTAAATTTAAAAAAAAACTTATTTCTAACTTTTAAATGAATCTTTATTCCTGTGCAGGTTATAAGACTGAATGGTGGTGAGTACCCTTGTAGTGCTGGTATGTTTAATGATTTGAAAGAACTGACTAATGAGCAATGGGACACTCTGGAAGCAATGATTAAATCTGTTAAAGGATCATAGTTGTACCTAAGCCTAAGATTAGTGGACAACATTATGTCCCTCAAATTGATTGAATGAATGAATTTAATCTAATTGATGATGACACACATGTTGGTGTTGAAATTGAGAAAATATAATGATGTATTTATGATTTTATAAGATTTATTGGTGAAAAATATTGAGAAATGGATGAAGTTGCTACTAACTGTGTAACATTAACAATTACATCAGATCTTGATCTGGTAAAAAGTGATTTCATATAACATTGTCAAGTCTTCATCTGTTAAAAATGTATGTCATCTAACATAAGAAAGAGTCTTGATCTAATGAAAAGTTGCATAATTAAAAATGTATATAACATATATCTCAATTTCTTTTATAGTTTGATATAAACTGTTATATGCCAACCAATATTTGCCTGTGATTTCTTATCATTGTGATTCTGTTTAAATTGAATTGATTGTACATTTATTTATTTTTTGTGTAGAATTTGATTGATGGAGTTATTATATTTTGTTTGCTTTTCAGAGTTGTAGTTTGTACAATACATTCTTAGATTTCCCTAAAGAGCTATAAATCTACCTCAAGTTTGAGAAACTGTCATACTAAAAATACATTTTGAAATTCTTTTGTTTTAAGCTTGATTCTATAATAGTTTGACATCTAACATTTTGTATATGTAGGTTGAATCATTTTTTAAAAAAGGTCATTCAAATTTAGTGACTTTAATGTTGACTTTATCAGTTGCCTTTTTTTTTTGTACCAAAGGAATTAAGAAAATTTATACTGATTCTCTCCCCTGAATAAATCACTTTATAGTGTCCCTACTATGATCAAAACATGAAACTTTGATACTAGAAGCTAAATGTTAATGTTTCTGGCAACTTGTTTCCACATCATTGATGTAAGACAATTGTTATTTAATGATCAAATTGAGATGAAGAACTCATGTCACAATTGGTTCAGATTCAAAGAAATTACACTTACATTATATTGATGCATGAACAATTTTGACTTTCCTTTTTGCATCTTATTTATTTTTCACAATCTTTCATTATTTTAATGAATATTTTATTGCACAAATATTATCAATAATGAAATGTATGGATATATTCTAAAAAGTAAAAATTATTTGTATAAAGATACTTTGTTGTTATATATCCTCATATTTAAAAGTTGACTTCCTTCAGTTGTGAGGTAACTCATCTGGTGTCGTAAGAGGTTTGAGAGCCTGGGTATTGGCTATGATCAGAATGTTGTCCCCTACAAAGCAGTTCCGTCCCTCTCCACACAGCTGATACAGTTTGAGGTCAGGCCTGCTATTGAGTGGAATATTAACCCCCCACTTCTTTCCATCAATTTGAGAAAAAACTGATGTCAATGAAAAAAACAATTTCAAAGACTATTGCTGACAATAAATAAAGAGCTATGACTGTGCACACCTTGTTCATTCATTGTCAAAGTTTCAGAAATATTTTTGTGTACACACACTTTATCTCTTCTACAATGTAGAGACTTGCCTATATAAAGTATAATGTAGAGACTTGCCTATATAAAGTACAATGTAGAGACTTGCCTGTATAAAGTACAATGTAGAGACTTGCCTGTATAAAGTACAATGTACTTATTCCATTGAATAGTCTTCAGTTGGTGGCTTTAATTTGTGACCAATAGAATTAAAGACAACTTCTTATTGTTATAATTTTATTTTGTCTTTTGAATTCTTTTAAATACTGTATGCTTTATTTCCTTTTATTTTGACTACACAGTGTAAATATTGACCAGTTATAAACAAAAAATTCAAATACAATTTGTATAGCTTAACATGGTGTCTGTTAATGTCTGTTTGTGGTGTTGACAAAACGTCCATCTGTCTGCTGCCTGTTTGTGGTACACATGATCTCTCCCACTATCCATTCTTGGCTCAAGTTGAAACTTTGCACAATTATTTATCAATCAATAAAAAAATCATTTATTAATCATTGGTACCGGTAATTAATTAGTTTTGTTTTACATAAAAAGTTGACATAAATCTCACAATATTAAGATATATTTGGCATGAATTTTGCAGCTCTTTCTCTTACAAAAGCCTTATTTTTATAAATTATATATTATACATTTTCTTGTTTAACCACATGGTCACTCTTTTTCACAGATTAATATTATTAGTTTTAAAAAAAGGTCTAAAATATACTAGTTTTTAGTAACTCTCAGTTTCAGAGTTTTGGTTGCTAGTTTGTTTGATTCAAATTATAATAAATAATGCAGTCTACATACAGTCAAAGCCTACATCTAAACAAAGAATTACGCATCTTAAATCACAATACAGGGGGCAAAAGTTAAAGAATAATTAGTGTTGATGTTGATTCAATGTTTTGTTTCGGTTACTGATGAATCCATGTTTTATCAATCTTCTTATGACGCTGATATTTTGTTCACATTGAGATCCTGTCGTTGTTCTGGGGAAACTTTGATCCTTTGTTCACGACTGCTGCATGTAGGCTTTAGAATAAACAATATATTTTCAAAGTTGGATAATTGGAAGCTAATTAGGCTACTTTATGCCTAATATGTAATACACAGTATATAGTCTTTGATATATAATGGTCTATAACAGTGGTCTACAACGGGGACGCTGGTAGCCAAAAGGGGTGGTAGTGGGGGTAAATGTGGGCCACAGAGATGAAAGAATAAACTCGAGGTGCACTGAAAGAAAAAACAAAAAATTAGATGAAGAAATTGACAGTTAGCTTGATTCTAATTTGAGAACAGAAACAACGTTAGAAATTGAGTTTGGGAATCCCCTTTTTTATATTTAAATTCTTACTGTTTCTGTAATCGGAGGGGTGGCGAAGTATCTGTTGTCTTAAGTTCTTGCGCGCGTAAACGTTTATCATTTGATAAGCAAACTAGGTAATAGGCTTTTTAGCTTATAGTTTATTTTATATACACATGTTAATATTAATTTTAAAAAACGCTAAAGCTAACATTCAAATATAATTTATGTAACCCTTTTATGAACTATTAAAACATTGACACAGTCGGTCGAGAGGAAAACTTACTATCATATACAAAGATAGGGCTGCACTGAAATGTTCCTGTACAATTATTTTCATAGTTATGTGTGTAACAAACTAAATACGTAAGCAAAGAAATAGACTGGTTGTTGCCAAGACAATACCTTCGTCTTGAAGTCATACATTTCTAAGGGACTCTTCTAAGGATTCCGCCTCGACAGGTCAGTAAAACCACAGATTCTCGACCTGTATGCTGACATGTAGGCCAATGCACTACGCAAAACAGCAGGGTTTCTGTCCAGGGCTTTTGTAAGAGAGGATTTGAGTTTCTCAAGCCCTCATCCATGGGCGCCCACAGGAGGGTGCAACCTGGATTCTGAGTTGCCACTTCTAAGTAGCAATTGAACAAGTAGTGTTTCCACTGGTTAATGTAGTAGTAGATTAGCCTAGACGATGACCAACCATGTACGGACACACCTCTGAATTCTAAGTAGCCACATTTTAGCCAATGAAATGCATCTTCCAGATCTGTTTTGTTTCTATTATGTAGATGTAGATTTAGTCGGGATCCATTTGGGGGGGGGGGGGGGGGGGGTACAAGTGCACAACCATGTAGCCACCTGCGGGCGCCCATGCATTATTGATTCAAGAGTTTAATAAATTAATGTTCAGGAAAATTTTGCACATCGTCTTTAAGTCTAAATCTAAAGGTCTATCATTGGACTATTATAAAGTAACAAGTAGTGCTTCCACTGAAGTACAGTTGTAAAAATATGCTATTATTGTAACTAGAATATGCAAATCTGTAGTTCATGTCCGACCATGTACGATTTATTATAGGCTTGGAATTCTTTGCACTATAAAGGATGTCACATATTCTATAGCATGTTAGTCGTGACGATTTGTTTTCATTTGCACATAGATTTAGTTATTATGAATGCCACAAGGTCGACTTCCACAAGACATTCTGTATGGTGATTTAACAGAAGGCAGGAGATCGGCTGGTCGTCCGCTGCTAAGGTATACTGATGTATGCAAACGCGACATAAAGCTTTTCAAAATCGACACTTACAGCTAAGAAAAAGTGGCACTGGATGGATCTATATGAAGAACGAGCATTAAAGGAAAGGTCCTGGATTGCAAATGCCATACACAACAGTAGTAGACAGAAGGGTGAAAGCCTACAAAGGATTGGCCTCTTTAGTCACTCAAGAAGTTGCAAAGGGAAAAAATCGTCTCGAGACGTAAAATGCCACAATTACTTTTTAAAATATTTTTTTTTTGCCCTGCCAAGTATCTTTCGATGTGAAAAATGTTCTAATTTCTTTGAACAAAAGTCAAGAGTGTAAATGTATTAACGTCTTGCGATCGGTGTCAGCGCTGGATAAAATAGCAGGTGAAACACGTCCACCAGGTTACAAATGAAAAAATACAAGAAAGTTCTTCACATGCCAACGTCCAAGTCAAAACGTTGATTTAGATCAACCGAGCACTGGCAGCAGCAAGAAATTTAAAAAATCCATCATGAACTGACTGCATTTGCTGGGTATTTTAGTGAAGAAATTTGTAGATATCTCAGGCACTGAGCAGACGTCTTTGAGTGTTCGTTTTGTTGATTGCGATTGTATTCGACTTCATCGGTTTAGTTCCTGTGGTCCAGAGAGACGCACTGCATGTGTCTAACGTCATTGTACAGTCTAGACATGGACAAACTACTCGTCTAAGGCTGTCTTCTGATTGCTAGTATTCTTTTTCCGTAACTGTCCCTAGCGATTGCGTTGGTGCTAAATTTATCTCTTTTGTGTGAGACACAATCATCTGAAAAATACGAATCCATTCGAGATTGAAGTCTCAACTTTGAGATCTTTGACTGTTTGGATGATCTTAAAAAATCCTCACGGGTAAAGTTGACAATGTGTACAGTGTATACTTTTTTTTTTTTTTTTAGTTTCTTATTTTTTTAATTTCATGAACTAGAAGTATTTACTGTGCACTAAATATCGATTAGGTATGAGGGCCCAAATAGGGGGCAGTTCTTTTCTTTAATATTATAACAAGAAAGTTGAGGCTACGACATTGAGCCATGGGTGACAACTGGCACCCCCCTGTAAAAAATCCTGCGAGCGCCATGCCCTCATCCAAATAGTTTGATGATGATATTGATAATGAAACATTTGAAAGAAAGTCATGACGATGTAATTTTCGTATGTAATCACTGTGTAAGTTATGAGATAACTGTTGTATAATAGTTATACAATTAACGATCTGTTATTGTTTTTTTTTAAGTTATTGATAGCGTTTTAATTAATAAATAAAATAGTAGCCTTTTCAAATTTTCTTTAAGTTTTGTTTTGTAAAATGTTTCGAATGTTCCTTCAGAGTTTAAGATAGTTTACTTCCTAGTCCAAGCCTCCAGCAGGACGACGGGGGACGGGAGCGGGCAGGGTTTGAATCTGGGACAATCGATGAATCCAAACGACATTCCAGTGCGCAAACCGCAAAACCAAGCAGCCATCTTTCTTACGCTTCTCAATTAGAATTTTTCTGTGAGAAGGCGCAGGTGAATTTTTTTTTAAAGAAAAAAATACGAAAATCTGTTCTTTCGTCCCAGCTTTTTTACGAAAAAATTCTCTTCACTAGATCCGTCGTCATTCGGGCTAGAAGAAAGCAATTTTGTAGTCATCATCACTAAATAGAGCATGAAAATGGGGTCCATATTACAAACAAATACTTTATAAATGTTACATTAATTGTATTTAGGGGCATTAAAAGTGCGTTAAGTAACAAACAAAAGATCTAGTTGATTTGTTTAATGGATTCATTCTGAGAGACATAGTGGAACAGAAATAATTACAAAACATATGTCCTTGGACATTTGAGTTTAATTCGCTATCTGATTTTTCTTTCAATGTCTCAGTCCCCTCCCCTCCTCGCGTGTTTTATTCTTTCTAATTGAATGTTACAATGTCTTTTGGGTGCACTGCACTCACGTCCTATCTGGCAGCTGTAGCCCTTGGCTATTTCTTTCACCAGTTTCAACTTAATCCTCGCCAAGTGAGACTAGCATAAATAACAGTCTGGGTCAATTGGTAGACAGCCACATCGTCTCAGCCAACGTTATCATTTCCCAGCATCTCGTGACTATTTTCAATGTTTGCGTCCATGTAAGTCTCTGGAAAGTGAAGACTTTTCAGTCGATTGAGCACAACTAACATATTATTGAAAGATGTCCCACAGGGACACAGTTTAGAAAAAACTAATTTAAATTTTATAGATGGTGGTTTTGCTTTTGCTGGGAGAAATTTAACAAAGATAACCAATATGCCAAAGTATGCAAGGGACTGCTATCTATATACACACACATGTACACATCCACATGCAAATGCACTCTAGCATATCCAGACGAGAAGGCTGATGAGAAATCAATGACGCTCTGCTAGTGCTGGCCTAGAGATGCATGTTATAACCCTCCCCCACCATTTTCGATAGGAAGACTTTTCTTAGGATATTGTTTTGCTAAGTACAGGTAGGCCTATATAAC